CATAGACACACACTGGCTTAAGTGGTGGTATTTTCAGCTTGAGACCTTTCAGTGAAATGAAAATTATTTCCACTAGTGTGTGCAACAAAATACTGTCTGTAGTGTCAGGGTAACAGAGTGGTGAATGTGCATTGATTCAGTATCCCAGCCTTATTGCACAATGTTTGCATGCTCTCCCTGGGTACCAAAATGTCTCGAACAGTCCAAAGAAATGCTGTTAGGTTAATTGGACACTCTTAAATAGACCATAGTTATTATACTGCAATACTGGGCTGCTGGTATTGGCTCCAGCTCCCCCTGTGATACTGCAAAATATTGGACACTAGTAATCAAATGATAACACACTCAGTGGTGTTATGTTAGGACATGGTTCAGTTGTATTTGTAATTAAAAAGTCTTAAATAAGTTTAAAATAGTTTATTTATCTCTGTAACGTATTTATACACACAGTTGTGGTTGTCACTTCTTTAAATCTGAGCTGCTGAAACTAAGCTATGTTTGCTTTTGCTTAGAGAGTACTGTATTTTAAATAAACCCTTTGGGATATATGTTGTGTTGTAAACAAAGGTAGCTTCCTATTGATTAGACATGCCGGATTTCTGCTGAATCTTGTCTCTAAACGCTGAGTCATGGAAACATTCCTAACTGTCGTAGGGAGTGCTCTGGTGCACTGTATCGACAGCTCCAATGACTATGATTATATCTTACTTCACTTATCACTCCAGACTGGCAAGCCTCCTGACAACACATGCATGTATACATCCCCAGTCACAAACACTGTGTAATTGTGTCAGAGTGGAGCTGTAAGAGGTTGTGTAGTTGCCATCGAACTTGTGTTTTCGAGTTGTTAGTTCCTATTTACATTGGCATGTAACTAAAATGTGCTGCTGTCCTGATAAATGCCTTCTTAACTTGGACAACTGTTGAGCGAATGAGTACTTGTGTGTATGTTTGTGTGTTTATGAATATCTCTATTTGCATGAGTGTGCTGGTGTATTAGTAGGGGGTCAGTGGGAGTGGTGGGTATGTAAGAAAACGGTCGCCAGGAGTCTATATATAGCTCCTCCCTCCTCCCCTTGCCTCCCTCTCTGGGCAGTGTTGAAATTCCGACCCAGCTCTTCTGATCAGTTCTCCACAAGGAAAAGACTTTGCTTAACTGTTGCTGACAACTAATAGACTGCAACAAAACATCTCTAAAAGTAAGCACTCACAGTACAACTTTCCAATGAGCCTCGAGGATTTCCAAGGTCATGGGAGTGGAGTTACAGAGACATGACGTCTGATGGAAGGTGGAGCAGAAGCTTTAGTAGTAACTAATAGTTGGTGTCATGTAGTTGTCAAGCATGGTACCCTTCTCAGCCTCTGGTCGACTTAGGCCTCTCCTGGAGCACAGTGGATTATTTCCTACAACTCTGGAATACTTGTTTTTAGTGGAATAACTTTTGTGTTTTTTCTCTCGTGTGGAAATCTTTCTCTTCTTACTCCCCATTTTTGCCGTTTTTTCTCTCGTGTGGAAATCTTTCTTCCTTTCTTACTCCCCATTTTTGCTATGATCCTTCCAGATTGTGGAATTACCATGCCAACGTGTTTGACCTGTATTCAGTGCAGGTTATAGTTGCAATGCTGCTGTCAAGACAGTTTTCTTTTTCCCTCAAGCACTTGTTTTCGACTTTACCAACCTTTCACGTTCTGAAGGATGGAGCTTCACATTTTCAGTTTCGGTTAAAGCCATTTAGGGCCTAAACCAAAGATGAGGTCTGTAGTCTGTGTTACGGTGGAGTATTTGGTTCATTTAAGACTGATGCATCACTGATCTACTGCAAGGAACTGCACCTATCTGATAAATATGGGAGCTGTATTTCACAGCCTGTAAACGAATCCGTTTCTAGTTTCCCATCTCCATCCCAGTGGTTCACATAACCCTCTGTATCTAGCTGTCTTCACCATGGAAGTGCCAACTAAATGGAGCAGGGCAAGTGTCATCAGCTTCATCAAGGGTCTTGGTAAGCGTGCAAGGGTGTTGGTGTGCACGCATGTTTGCATCCCTCGGGTGTTCACATTAGACAGAGACTGGTCTTGTCCTGCCCAGCAGGAAACAGTATCTCAATTCAGGTCACCTTTTCAGTGAGGTCCAGTCACATGGTCATGACCTGACTCGTGTTATAGTACAGTAAGTAGTGGACACTTGTGAAGTGAAGTTCTGGAAAATGCTGCAATGAATTATACTAATACTTTTATCACCTAACACTGAAATATGAATTAATATTATTACTTTTTACTGTGACATAATTCAAGCTGTTAAAATATTTACAGAATTAGATGGGTTGTTTTTGCTCACCATGTGCTAATCTCTACATGAAAAACAATATTTCTTAGTTAATGGTGGCCATAATACATCAGTGTCGTGTTAATATTGGAATTGACCTCATCAGCTGTGACTCGAACATCATTTATCCTGATTAATAAAGTTAAAGAGCAGTAATAACATTCTGGAAATATTATTACTGCGTGTTGACTCATTAACTTTGATGATGGAATAATTAAAAATTAGATACACTAATAGTGGTATGTTTACAACATCAAACATTTTGAGTATACGTATTGATATCTAGGCTGTTGTTGCACCTGAGCTTCCGCTATTGGAGGTTCTATAATGTAGCGGTTATCACGTGTTTGAGCCACATACTTAATGGCGCCTCCGATGATGCAGCCGCTGTTGGTACCAAAAACTCACACTGTGAATTTCCCCATTGTGGAACAGATAAGGGACTATATTTTTTTGTACTTTTAAATTAAAGTGGATCATTCTAATCTAGTGGCGCTTTGCCCCAGATGCAATGTCTCTGTCATTGGTGTGGAACCCCAGGGTTCACCTCCTGGGCAAGTTCGAATCCCGGTTAGGGCAGTTGGTACCTTCCAGTGGACTCACCACCCGCAGGAAGGTTTGGTACGGTGCAATGTGATTTGGGTGGCGACTGCTG